TGGGTTGTGGTTCTTTTTTGTATATGAGAATACCTATTAATTAGTAAATGTTAAAAGGAACCACATGCACATTTTCTTAATTATCTAGAAAGTTTAAGAGTATCTAGAGCTAATTTATATACACATACTTAAATAAATAATTTATCAACAAATTTGAATAAAATAAATAGTAATTTTACTTCAGCTGACAGAGCTGCACATGTTTTTGTAAATCATTTGATATCTCAGAAGTACGTATTTGCTGGGTGGTTCCTTTTTGCATAAATACGGACAAATATAAGTAACCTAAGTTACTCCTTATAACATCAGCTATCTGCCAGTGAAAGTCCCGTCGAAATCGGTCCAGCCGTTTCGGAGATTAGCCGGAACAAACAGACAGACAGACAGACAGATCGACAGACAGAAAAATTTTAAAAATTGTGTTTTTTGTTATAAGTTGGTATTTTGACATTACAAACAGACACTTCAATTTGATTTATTTGTATAGAAGATTACAAAGTTATTTATGCAGTTGATATATCTAGAAAACTGGACAGAAATTACAAAATATTTTAGTTTTTCCTTGATTTATACACTAGGCACTAATTGCATTCTAAATTTGAAGCTTCTACGTCTGCTAGAAGTGCCTTAGAGTTTTGATGATCGGTCAGTCAGTGAGTGACAGAATTAAGAAACTTTGACTAGTTATAATTCTTAAACTACTGGTTCAAATTGAACGAAATTTACACTATACCGTGTATATACAATGCCTGCTTGGTTACTAAAAATTGAGGCTTCTAGTTTTATCCATAACGAAGTTATAGAGGGTCGAAAATGGCCTAAACTGCTTCGAGAAAAGGATGGTACGGCCGTGCCGCTTTTTTGCTCGACTTGGCGTGGGCACTGCCGTGCCCGCAGAAAATAGCTTCATATTATATGGATATTGTGTTCACTTCAATGTCTGAACTAGAATATTATCCTTTTTCCCTCAATGTTAAATTGCAATGCGTTGAATTTATTTATTATAGAAAGAAGAATAAAGAAAGATTATTTATAACTTCACAGATCATACACAAATATTCAAAATTACCGTAAAATAGAAACTTAAATAAAAAATAATAGACAACTGTATTTTTTATTAAAAATACAGAAGTGATAATTGGACCTCCAATAATGTTTACAAGAGAAACAATTCCACGTTATCTAGCAATGCTTCAACAGGGTAGGGCTTGTGCAATCTACTTTTAAAAAATAATATTAATTTAAGCAAAATTTTAAAACACCGAATACTTAGAGGTATTTATTTAAAATGATTTGCTTAATAGATCTACAGTTACATATTGTCGAGATTACAATTTACAAAGGACAGTAGACAAATTCACTCTCCAATTTTACCATTCCACCAATTTTTTTTTTGTACTGTTGCTAATAATGCTAGTGGTCGCATTGGTCATCATTGCCTCAGAGTTACGCAACGTACGATGCAAATAATGCATGAAATTCCAAGCTTGATTGTCTGTTACTCCTTTCATTGCAACATGTGCAAAAAAGTGACGTCAGAACTCAACGTAATAAAAAGATAATTTAGGCCAAACACACATACATATTATGTATGTAACGACGTATAGAATTATGAAAAACTTTGACAGTAGATAAACTTAGAAATAAGGATATCCGCAGTAGAACCAGAGTGACCGACATAGCCCAACGCATTAGTAAGCTGAAGTGGCAATGGGCCGGCCATATAGCTCGAAGAACCGACAAACGATGGGGAAAAAAGGTTCTCGAGTGGCAGCCTCGTACCGGCAGACGAAGTGTAGGGCGTCCCACCACTAGATGGAGTGACGACCTGGTAAGATATGCAGGAAGTCGTTGGATGCAGGTGGCTCAGGACCGTGCTTTGTGGCATTCCTTGGGGGAGGCCTATGTTCAGCAGTGGACTTGTGAAGGGCTGTAATGATGATGGAAATGATGATTGACAGTAGAACAGAATCATACCGAACGGCTAGAACAAGTAGATAGTAGTCGCTTGGTCACCCCCGGTAAGCAAAGTGGAACCCTGGCCCGTTTTGAGCTAGCCCGTGGTATAAATGCGGAGCAAGTAGAGTATTAGCGATCCTTTTTCCTCGAATCTGGCGGGGCCGTTCCGCTAAGGCGGCGATGAAAAGGCCGTGGGGGAAGCGTAGTATAGGCGACAATTTTTCCTTAAGGCCTTACCGCTAACGCGGCAGTGGTGTGGTCGAGGGGAGGGAGAGAAATGTCGGTTACAATGCGCCACTCTTCCTTTTCTCCGTGGCAGAAACCTCATTAACAAATGGTGGGAGGGGGGGGGGGTGCGAGTGCTTCCGGGCGTGGACGTTGTCCTGACCACATGACCTCTACGTAACGAACTCCAGGGGATCTGCAGCCAAATAAAGGTGAAGGACATGTAGGAAGACGCTTCGTATTCCGGCGCGTCTTGCCTGACGAGGAAGATGGGGAGGTGTCCTTTGACGAGGAGGGGCTGCCAGAAGGCGGACGCTGGTGGGGTTGGTAAAATAATTTATATGCATGTAAATGGGTGTAGGACATCCAGTTTTACACAGTTTGGAGTGGGCTAAGCTTAAAATCATTTAAAGAAACAAATCACAAACATTTCAATTTGGCGCAGAATATTCTCAAAAAAAAGAAATTGTCTGACCACAATTGGTGCATATTAACAGATAATAAGCGAGTTCTGATAAAATACCACGTTAATGCAAAAGTAGAAGGCCTTCAAGCGAGGCTATTTGTGTAAAAGAGGTTGAAGAATATGAAAGTCCACAACTGAACATAGTCCTCCCTCAAGGAATGCCAAAAAGCACGGTCCTGAGCCACCTGCATCCATCTCTTACCAGATCGCCACTCTATCTAGTCATATACGCGCTGTAAACATCCCAAAGAGACGGGAGATGAAATAGATCAAATATTTAAGCTAGCTATTTCTCTTAGTCCCTAATTTTTGGTATCTTCATAATGTGGGTATATATACGACCAGGTATCTACAACGAATGGGAAGGTGACCGAAATTCAAACGCAATTTTGATAACAAGACTAGCAGCACGTTGATAATATTAACCACGGAAAACTGAATTTCAATTAAATGAAAAATTTGTTCTTTGAAAGTATTAATGTTAAATCGCCTTAATCTAATTTATTCGAAGTATTTCTTTAAGTGTACGTTTATTCATTAATACAATAAAGCACCACGATACGCCAGTTACGTAAATTGTGAATGAGTCTGTAACCTTCTCTAAGTGAAGGTTGTCCACTCGTACTGGTCAACAAAATATCCGTATTCTATTAACAGTACGTTACTATATTACATAAATGTAATTTTTACCCCAGTGAAAATGTATGTCAAACCCACCCACACTGTCCACTTATCGCCAAAGGCTAATATAGACTTAGTGAAGAAACTGAGTGCCTGCTCTGTTAAAACGTGTAGCGAGCAGAGCCTTCGGCGTGCTCCGTTCCTTCTTTTTATAGAATAAGGGTACCAAACGAACACTTGATAGTGAGAAGTTGCTGTGACGTCTACAGACGTCTACATTTATCCTTGACTGATTCAAAATGCAGATGCGTTGCCGTTGCCTGAAAACGAAGGTAACAAAACCATAATATAACTGCAGCGTGGCTTTTCACCATCGGACAACTAGACGCTCAGCGGATCACTCTTTGTTGACGACATATCACGAATTCCAAACAAACAATTTGCTTCAACATTCGTGTTGTGTTGTGTACAGTAATGTTGTTGAACAATTTGCCAGCATCTATATCTTTTCTTACGATTGCAATGTGGGTGTCTTCAAAGTAAGAGTGCTTATAATAAAAGATATAGGCTTTTGTTTACCTAAGTACTTATCTTAGCTTAGGAGAGTAGTCAATTACTAATTTATATAAAAAAAAATAAGTAAAAATGTACGAATAGCTTGAAACATGTGAATATAACGCATCTACATTTTGATTCTTCATCGAGGATAGATGTAGATGTCTATGGGCCACACCATGGTCAAACCTTTTGTATAATAAAAAAACGGCAAAGTGCGAGTCTTACTCGCGCACCGAGGGTTCCGAACAAATATGTAGGTATATAAGTTTAAAATTATTAAAAATATTTTTATTATATGATGTAACGAAAATTTTATGCTTTTTGCAATTTTTCCTTTATCTGTGCTATAAAACGTTGCTTCGTACCAAATTCCAAAATTCTGAGTTTACGGGAAGTACCCTGTAGGTTTTGATTCCCTTGCGTATGTTGAATATTTACGGCATAAACGGCTGTATCTTTTGATTGCGTTGGCTTAGAAGTTTGATTTTTTCATAATAAGGGACAGTAGACTTGAGTATTTGATATGAATTTCAGCTTGATACCTCCACGCGTTCCTGAGAAAAAGGGTCTTGACAGACAGACAGACAGACAGACGGACAACAAAGTGATCCTATAAGGGTTCCGTTTTTTCCTTTTGAGGTACGGAACCCTAAAAACAAGAAACGTTGATCGTGAGTGAGAGAAACATTTTAAAGAAACATAATTTCCATAAATTCGATTTACGGCTAATTATTATTGATGAATGCACTATATGTTACTACTTTATACTTAAATAAGGTCACGCAAGTTGATCTGCAACGAAATCGATATATTGTACGAAAAGGCAACCAACCATTTTCCGATGTTGTTAACAAAGCAGAAAATGCCTGCCGCCGACGTCACCTCTGACAGGAATGTCACGAAATAAAATTGATTTATATAACTTAGTAACATTTCATGTAGTAACCGAGTTCATGTAATAAATAGATTATACTCTTACTTAGTCCAAGATATATTTACTTTGTAGTTCCACAATCTTCGGGTTGTGTGTCCGCGATTATTAGAAAGCAAAATAAAAAACTGGCAACACTCGATCTGTTAATCATTCGCTTTTTTCGCGCCTGTGTGTACGCAGCGTACGACGCAAAAAATATCTAATACTATTATAAAAAGTTAGAAAAAGTGCAAAAATATGCCTAAAAGAAAGCGGGATAGTGATTCGGAGGAAAAAATTCAAAGAAAGATTAAAAAATTACAGAAGAAACTGGTTAGACGTCAAAAAGAAAAATCATTTACACCGGACATTTTGTCGGAACCAAATACTGGTAGTGACATCGAATATCAAGAACAAGAATTTATAGTTCCTGTTGAAGGTAAGGACTCCCTAAGGGTAATTTGTTCACAAGTTGTGATTATAATTACTTGCCGGTAATATGTGGGACATATTACTTAAACGCTCCGGTGGAGTAGTTTTTACTATAGGTTATAGGGATCAAAGAAAAGTTCTCTAGCGTTTGCTGTTATATTTTCAATATGTATTTAAGTAAATACGTAAGAAAACAGGGTCAGTTACCTTGATTCAAATGATACAGAATTAAAAATAACAATTCAAGGTCGGTGACCTTGATTGTAATAGTTATTCTGTAATTTCAGTAATAGGATACTAACTTTATACACCTATTACAGTGGGTCACTGTTATCAGTGTGTTCTTTTAACTTAGTAAATTATTTGTTTTTCAAGGTATTGAAAGCTCAATGGTGGAGGAAGTTAACACCTTAGAGAAATCTATCTTGGAGGCGCTGGGTGATACCACCAGCAGTGAGAAGGGTTATGGAGATGAAATACACCCTGAAATTGTAAAGAGAGTAGAGGAAATTTTGTTAAGTGGCATTTCACAAAATGAGGAAAAAGAGAAGTTAATGAAAAAATATTTAATTCCAAAAAATGTTATGTTACTGGATGCACCTAAGCTTAATGTGGAATTAAATGGACTCCTGAGTGATTCTATTAAAAATAGAGATAAGAGAGTCAAAGACCGCCAGCAATTACTGGGGACTGCTTTGTCTGCTATTTTAATAATGACGGATAATATTATAAAAAATAATGTTGATAAAATACCAACAATTGCCATATTAAGTGATGTGGCACGATTGTTAAGTGAACTCCATTATCAAGATACCGTTACCCGTAGAAAACTAATTACACCCAACTTAGACAAAAACATACATTCAAGCATTGAAACAGCCAAACGAGACTGCTACCTCTTTGGTGAAAAATTTAATGAAAATGTCAAGACTGCTACTGCTATCAAAAGATCAGCTGCATCTATTTTAAAAACTAAATCTTCAAATTCACAAAGAAAAGTTCCTGATCGCCCTAATGTGGGACCAAGGCAGGAAAACTACCGGGCCCCTCCTTGCACAAATCGCTCGAATCAGTACAAAAAAGGGGGAGGGGACAAATATCAACAGAGGACTACAGTACAACATCAGATAGCCCCACAACCGGGACACCCTCCAATGAAGTATTACAAGAAACCTGTACGACAATCTTAAAGGTGAATATTTTTGCTGGTCGCTTAAAATATTTTTACTCTTGTTGGCAAAACCTAACTAAAGACAGAGTAGTCTTATCTTGGACCAAAGAATACAGGATTCCTTTTGTAAAGGCTCCTATATAAAAAAGTGTACCAAAAAATACAAATTTTTCAATAAATGATAACCTAATTTTATTGAAAGAAATAAACAGACTCTTAAATCTAGGTGTTATTTCAAAATGTGTTCCTATAAGAGGTCAGTTCTTATCAAAAATTTTTATAGTACCAAAGCCAAATGGTGGTGTCAGATTCATATTAAATTTAAAATGTTTAAATAGATTTATTTCCACAGAACATTTTAAACTAGAGGATATGAGGACTCTATGTAAATTAATCTCCAAAAATGATTTCATGTGTACAATTGATTTAAAAGAATCATATTTCTTAATTCCAATCGGTGAAGACAAAAAATATCTTAGATTTATTTTTCAAAATGTGTTATATGAATTTAACTGTGTACCTTTTGGGCTTTGTACAGCACCATTTATTTTTACTAAGATATTAAAACAAGTTATGATGTTTTTACGTGAGAAAGGTTATAAATCTGTTGTATACCTGGACGATATAATCTGTATAGATCAAACATATAGCCAGTGTCTGAAAAATTGTCAAATGACTGTTAAATTGCTTCAATGTTTAGGGTTCATTATAAATAAGGACAAAAGCCATCTTATTCCTTCACAAATTGCAACTTTTTTGGGGTTCATGATTAATACAAAAGACATGACTTTATCTCTTACAGCATTAAAAAGGCAGAAAACTTATCAGTTGATTAATAAATTTCTAAATATAAATCAATGTACTATTAGAGATTTTGGCACATTATTGGAACACTAATAGCTTGCTGCCCAGCTGTCCCTTATGGTTATGTTTATACAAAAAATTTTGAACAACAAAAAATACAGGCCTTATGTAGATCAAATAATAATTTTGATGCTAAAATGATTATTAACACTGAATGTAAGGAGGATCTGTTATGGTGGATGTCTCATATAAAAATCTCTAAAAACTTAATAAGACAAAATAAATTTGACTTGGAAATTTACTCGGATGCCTCAGGGACAGGTTGGGGTGCATGCTGTAATGGTGAGGTAGCTCATGGGTTTTGGACAGATTTAGATAAGGAGAATCATATTAACTTTTTAGAGTTATTAGCTGCTTTCCTAGGTTTGCAGTGTTTTGCTAAGGATGTAATATTTTGTCAAATTCTGCTGAGAATTGACAACACCACAGCCATTGCTTACATTAATAAAATGGGTGGAACACAATTTCCTAAACTTAGTTTGTTAGCTAGGAATATATGGCAATGGTGTGAAGTTCGACAAATTTGGTTGTTTGGATCATATATACAATCAAAAGAAAATAATGAGGCTGATTATGAATCCAGAATTAAGAATGTTGATTGTGAATGGGAGTTGTCACACAATGCATTTCAACAAATTGTAATTGAATTTGGTGAACCAGACATTGATCTGTTTGCTACAAGAGCCAATGCAAAATGCACCAGATATTTTTCATGGCATAGAGACCCATCTGCAGAAAAGATTGACGCTTTCACCACAAACTGGTCCGATTTTAAATTATTGTATGCATTTCCACCATTTGCATTAATTCCAAAAACCATACAAAAAATTAAAAATGACCAGGCCACAGGAATATTGATTTTTCCCCTGTGGGCCTCACAACCTTGGTACCCATTTATTGATGAATTGGCCATATCTAGAATAATAAAATTTAATCCCTCAAAACAATTATTATTCTCGCCTTTCAGAACACTGCATCCTCTACACAGCAGACTTTCCCTGGGAGCTTGTGTATTATCAGGGAAGCCTTCAAGAAAAGACTGACCCCAATTGAAGCTGTAGAAGTAATGATAGCATCACTATCAAAAAATACAATAAAACAATATACTACAGCACTTAAAAAGTGGTGGGTGTTTTGTAATGGTTTCAATATTTATGAATTGTCAATACCAAAAGTTTTACAATTCCTCACTGAAAATTTTAAAAACGGTGCTTCATACAGCAGTCTTAATACATACCGTGCTGCTTTATCTCTTATTATACATCCTTCTTTAGGTTCAGATATCCAGATAAAACGTTTTTTCAAAGGAGTATTTAAACTGAGGCCTTGTAGGCCTAAATATACTGACACATGGGATCCAACCGTTGTGTTAAATCATATCCAGGAGTGGTCACCCATTAGTAATTTGAGTTTGGAAATGTTAACTAAAAAGTTAGTAGTGTTACTTGCTCTCACAAGTGCACAACGAATACAGACATTATCTTTAATTAAGTTACATAATATTGAGTTTATTGAATCAGGAGTTAAGATTAGAATTACCGATATTTTAAAAACTACTGCTCCAGGTAAAAGGGAAATGTTAATTAATTTACCCTTTTTTAGTACAAAACCAGATATCTGTCCAGTAAATACACTTAGATATTATATTGAATATACCAAAACAATAAGAAACATAGAGTCAAATAATACAGATTATTTATTTATTTCTTATAAAAAACCCTATCAGAGGGCCAGTACTCAAACTCTAAGTCGTTGGATTCGACAAGTGATGGGAGAATGTGGAATAGATATTAAAAAATTCACCCCACATTCTACTAGACATGCGTCCACTTCTTTTGCACATAGAAACGGTGTTTCTTTAGATACAATTTTTAGAACAGCAGGTTGGTCTACAGGTTCTAGTGTATTTGCAAACCATTACAATAGACCTTTAATGGAAGAAAATCACAATTATTGTTTTGCAAATTCAGTTTGTAATGTAAATGTGGAGTAATTGTAATACCTTATAATTTTACTTTTCTAGTTATTTTAATTATTTTGTAATTATTCATTACTATTTCAGTTTTAAAATAAACATTGTTAGTTATATTATTAACCAATTTTTTGAATTTCAACTTCATCTCTAAACATCTACAAAGTAAATATATCTCGGACTAAGTAAAAGTATAATTACTAAATTAAACGAACTTACCTTAAGTGAAGTTCCATTGTAATTATACGAGGTACTTAGTCCGAGATATAAGTCTCCCACCCTCCCTAACATGTTATAATGTTATGTATTACCCAGTAGGTGAAGTTGAAATACCAGTCAGGTTCAATTAATTAAAAGATTGCTCCAGTTAAGAGTTGAGCTCTGAAGTGAATGATTAACAGATCGAGTGTTGCCAGTTTTTTATTTTGCTTTCTAATAATCGCGGACACACAACCCGAAGATTGTGGAACTACAAAGTAAATATATCTCGGACTAAGTACCTCGTATAATTACAATGGAACTTCACTTAAGGTAAGTTCGTTTAATTTAGTAATTGTATGTATGTAGGATTAGTAATTTTTATTCATATATCTTTATGTTACAGATTTCACAATATTAGCAGCATCAACTGAATTCAGCACATGTAATAACTTAAAATTAAATATTATTATTATAATTTACATACTTTTTTTCTTCGATGTGGAATATTAAAATTTCGTTTGTCAAACGTCATTTTTAGTGTTGCTTTCCGAAAAATCGTACCGTAAAAGAAAAAAACGAAATCCTTATATCACTTTGTTGCTCGTCCGTCTGTCTGTCCATCTGTCGAGGATCTATTTCTTAGGAACGAGTAAAGGTATCAATTTGAAATTATATTCAAGTTATATCAAACACCAAGGTCTACCTACCTATGCAGGGTAATTGAAAATTCAAGATTTTAAGTCAATACAATCAAAAATAACTGTGTAGTGGCGGTGTAAGAATATCCAGTACCCCATATCATCGCGTGAATGTCGTAAGAGGCGACAGAGATAGACAAACCAGGACATGGATTGCAGCATCTTCCCACTAACGACTAAAATTACAAAGTTTGCCAAGAGTGGCAACCGTGGCAAATATTACCCTATGAGGCAATCTATGGGGGGCCTATGTTATTGTCTGTGACTGTAATCAAAAGATACGGCCATTTATGTTACATATTATGTTAATAGTCGCAAATTCGTCGCTCATCAAAACCTACAGGCAACTTCCCCTTTACCTAGAACCATTAAATTTGACAAGAAGAAATGTTTCACCGCACAAATAACAAGAAAATTCGAAAATCGATAGTTTGTACTTATATCACAATTTATGAATTTCAGTAACTTAATAACTTTGATGAAAGTAGGTAAGTACTTAGTACTTACCTAAGTTTAAACGAAACACTCAAGACGCGAGTCCTATTCGCCCGGTTCGGTACTTCTCCGGTTTTTATAATCTAGTACCGTTTTAAAGAGCCGTGGTAGCTGAGATGGTTAGCGCTCGCTGTAAGCTTCCCAGTACTCGAGCAACCCGGGTTCGATCCCCGCCGGCACCAATGAAATTGTTAATTGCAATTTTAAGTGCTGATTTACCACGTGCTCGGCGGTGAAGGAAAACATCGTGAGGAATCCTGCATGTCTGAGAAATAAGAAAAAAAATATTTCGAAGACATGTAAAGTTCGCCAACACGCATTGGGGCAGCGCGACGGACATTTCCTTGTCCTAAAACCTTTCCAGAAATGAGAGGAGGCCTGTACCCAGCAGTAGGACGTAAATAGGCTGCAAATTTTTACCGTTTTAAAAATCAATTTCACTGACTGGAGAATAAACGGCGGCAGATACTCGTATTGTATCCTCTTTTTGTAATTTTTAAAGGTAAAATACAATAACAGGTTTATACTAGACTAATTATTTTATTAAATTATAATTGGTAAACATATATAAATACAAAAAAGAAATAAAAATATACCCATTAGGAACTGAAGCATGATAGCCAATGCCCTCTTCGACTATATTAAGGGGACAACAATAATTATTGGTTCTACTAGAATTTGTTTATAACTTGTGCACACTTTATTAAAACAACGTAATATAATTTTTATCTATTACTATATGTATATATATATATACTTCATGATGTATGTGATATAGTTCAGTTGATT